AGTCAGACAGACAAAGAGATAGATAAAGCCATGCAGTCAGACAGACAGACAGACAGACAGACAGACAAAGAGATAGATAAAGCCATGCAGTCAGACAGACAGACAGACAGACAGACAGACAGACAGACAGACAGACAGACAGACAAAGAGATAGATAAAGCCAGGCAGTCAGACAAAGAGATAGATAAAGCCAGGCAGTCAGACAAAGAGATAGATAAAGCCAGGCAGTCAGACAGAGAGATAGATAAAGCCAGGCAGTCAGACAGAGAGATACATAAAGCCAGGCAGTCAGACAGAGAGATACATAAAGCCAGGCAGTCAGACAGAGAGATACATAAAGCCAGGCAGTCAGACAGAGAGATACATAAAGCCAGGCAGTCAGACACAGAGATAGATAAAGCCAGGCAGTCAGACACAGAGATAGATAAAGCCAGGCAGTCAGACACAGAGATAGATAAAGCCAGGCAGTCAGACAGAGAGATAGATAAAGCCAGGCAGTCAGACAGAGAGATAGATAAAGCCAGGCAGTCAGACAGAGAGATAAATAAAGCCAGGCAGTCAGACAGAGAGATAAATAAAGCCAGGCAGTCAGACAGAGAGATAAATAAAGCCAGGCAGTCAGACAGAGAGATGGATAAAGCCAGGCAGTCAGACAGAGAGATGGATAAAGCCAGGCAGTCAGACAGAGAGATGGATAAAGCCAAGTAGTCAGACAAAGATAGATCAAGCCAGGTAGTCAGTCAGAGAGATAGATCAAGCCAGGCAGTCAGAGAGATAGATCAAGCCAGGCAGTCAGACAGAGAGATAGACAGAAACAGACATAGAGAGGGTCTGACAGAGAGAAAGAGAGACGTCTATGTTTTTCCTGACCTTTCCATTGTTGTGTTTACAGATAATGAACCACTGTTGCCAGTTGCTAACCCTCTGGCATCTATTAAGCAGGCTCCTAATGCTGGTGCAGATGATTATACCCTTATGTGTGAATTTGAAATTGCTCCAATAAACTCCAGTCTTCAGGCAAACATTATGTGGCTGATAAATGACATGGTAGTAGACGAGTCTACAGTCTGGACCAGTATCAATGACAGCAAGTACTCGGCTTACATTGACAGATCTAAACTGATCAACTTGGCATATGGCACTCAGGTACAAGATTTTCTTTAAAACGAGGCTCCAATGCATGCTTGCCTAGTTTACCTGTCAATGTTCTTACCTTTCATTGTTTGTGAATTTTCTTCTTCTTCTTCACTTCCTGTTTAACTTTCTCAGTCTAAGTAGCTTTGATAATCAGTAAACATTTTGTAGAGACAGTCAGTGCACACAACTTTCTCAGTCTAATTAACTTTGATAATCAATAAACCATTTGTGAAGACAGTTAGTGCACACAACTTTCTCAGTCTAGGTAACTTTGATAAACAGTAAACATTTTGTAGAGACAGTCAGTGCACACAAATTTCTCAGTCTAAGTAGCTTTGATAATCAGTAAAAATTTTGTGAAGACAGTCAGTGCACACAACCTTCTCAATCTAAGTAGCTCTGATAATCAGTAAACATTTTATAAAGACAGTCAGTACACACAACTTTCTCAGTCTAAGTAGCTTTGATAATCAGTAAAAATTTTGTGAAGACAGTCAGTGCACACAACCTTCTCAATCTAAGTAGCTCTGATAATCAGTAAACATTTTATAAAGACAGTCAGTACACACAACCTTCTCAATCTAAGTAGCTTTGATAATCAGTAAACATTTTGTTGAGACAGTTAGTGCACACAACCTTCTCAGTCTAAGAGCTTTGATAATCAGTAAATATTTTGTAGAGAAAGTCAGTGCACACAACCTTCTCAGTCTAAGTAGCTTTGATAATCAGTAAACATGTTATTGAGGCAGTCAGTGCATACAACTTTCTCAGTCTAAGTAACTTTGATAATCAGTAAATATTTTGTAGAGACAGTCAGTGCACACAACCTTCTCAGTCTAAGTAGCTTTGATAATCAGTAAACATTTTGTTGAGGCAGTCAGTGCATACAACTTTCTCAGTCTAAGTAACTTTGATAATCAGTAAACATTTTGTGAAGACAGTCAGTTCACACAATGTTCTCAATCTAAGTAACTCTGATAATCAGTAAACATTTTGTTGAGACAGACAGTGCACACAATGTTCTCAATCTAAGTAACTTTGATAATCAGTAAACATTTAGTTGAGACAGACAGTGCACACAACTTTCTCAATCTAAGTAACTTTGATAATCAGTAAACATTTTGTTGAGACAGACAGTGCACACAACTTTCTCAGTCTAAGCAACTTTGATAATCAGTAAACATTTTGTTGAGACAGACAGTGCACACAAGTTTCTCAATCTAAGTAACTTTGATAAACAGTAAACATTTTGTTGAAACATTTAGTGCACACAACTTTCTCAATCTAAGTAACTTTGATAATTAGTAAACATTTTGTTGAGACAGACAGTGCACATAACTTTCTCAGTCTAAGTAACTTTGATAATCAGTAAACATTTTGTTGAGACAGACAGTGCACACAAGTTTCTCAATCTAAGTAACTTTGATAATCAGTAAACATTTTGTTGAGACAGACAGTGCACACAACTTTCTCAGTCTAAGTAACTTTGATAATTAGTAAACATTTTGTTGAGACAGACAGTGCACACAACTTTCTCAATCTAAGTAACTTTGATAATCAGTAAACATTTTGTTGAGACAGACAGTGCACACAACTTTCTCAATCTAAGTAACTTTGATAATCAGTAAACATTTTGTTGAGACAGACAGTGCACACAACTTTCTCAATCTAAGTAACTTTGATAATCAGTAAACATTTTGTTGAGACAGACAGTGCACACAACTTTCTCAATCTAAGTAACTTTGATAATCAGTAAACATTTTGTTGAGACAGACAGTGCACACAACTTTCTCAATCTAAGTAACTTTGATAATGGTCATAAATATTGTTGGTGCTCTACTAATGTATGTGTGTGTGTATCTATTATTTCAGTTGTCTTGTGGGATAAGGCTGTGTGACAATGAGAGTTGTGTGGAGACACTGGCAGCGTTCAGACGAAGCAATATAATCATTTTGGCATTTGAGGTGAGAATTTCAGGCAAGCTAGCCACAGACAAATTCTGCCAGTCAAATCTTTTGCTAAATGATAAATGTAGCTGTGCATGTTTAATGGCAAATAGGTATGTTGGTTGGTATTTAGGTTTGCTGAATTCTTGCAGCCACTTCCAGGTCATTTATTAATAGGTTTCACCTCTACCAGACCGCTGGCCAGCTATTACCTGAATTTCCTAACCTGCCGCTAAACCGCTGTCCCTCAATGTCAGTCATTTGCGTACTATGAGAAAACAATGCATCACAAACTAAAAATAACTAGCCAATCGTAATCAGATCTTGTGGATAGTCATCTGAGATGTCCGCCCGCACGTGTTTGGTTTAAATTTGTGTTGATTTACGTGAACAAAATTCTGAAAATTCACAATAAAACGAGCGGCTGATGAACCAAGAACTTTGACAGGTAGGTGAAGTAGGTCTAGGCTTTTCACCCAGTCCAACAGGTGATCAATACTTTTGTTGATTCAGACTCTGCAGAGTCATCATTTCATGAAGAATACGTTCCCAGTTGAAGTGACACAGTCAGTGAAAGCTAGAATGATGAGAATCTTGAAAACAATAAATCTAGAAATTGATCGAAGGTAGGAAAAGGGGGCGTGTCCCTCAAACAGCAACATCTGGTGCTCACTTTGTGAAACAAGATTGATCCTGCTGGGTGGATTAGCACACAAAGGTGGAATATTGGTGCTAGATAAAAGGTAAACCTATTTTCTACAATGTCTCCAAGCTTGATCTTATTCTAGCCACTTGTTTGCATGTAACAAATATTTTTGTATATCATGTTGGTTTTTTCACGTTAATGTCCAGGAGCTCAGGTAAAAGGGGACGGTTAGGTTGAGGGCCTTGGGTCTGGTAGGGTTAAAGTGTAGGAGACAGTTAGGTTGAGGGCCTTGGGTCTGGTAGGGTTAAAGTGTAGGAGACGGTTAGGTTGAGGGCCTTGGGTCTGGTAGGGTTAAAGTGTAGGAGACAGTTAGGTTGAGGGCCTTAGGTCTGGTAGGGTTAAAGTGTAGGGGACGGTTAGGTTGAGGGCCTTGGGTCTGGTAGGGTTAAAGTGTAGGAGACAGTTAGGTTGAGGGCCTTGGGTCTGGTAGGGTTAAAGTGTAGGGGACGGTTAGGTTGAGGGCCTTGGGTCTGGTAGGGTTAAAGTGTAGGGGACGGTTAGGTTGAGGGCCTTGGGTCTGGTAGGGTTAAAGTGTAGGGACGGTTACGGTTAGGGTCTGGTAGGTTGAAATGTAGGGGACGGTTTAGTTTGAGGGCCTTAGGTTCTGGTAGGGTTAAAAGTGTAGGGAACGGTTAGGTTGAGGGCCTTGGGTCTGGTAGGGTTAAAGTGTAGGGGAACGGTTAGGTTGAGGCCTTGGGTCTGGTAGGGTTTAAAATGTAGGGGACTTTAGGTTGAGGGGCCCTTGGGGTTTGGTGGGGTTTAAAAGATTTTAGCCAAAATGATCTAATGAGGGAGCTTGAAATTCATTAGAGATAAACTGTATAATCATAAATGATAATTATTTTTAGGGTTCATTAGGGGGAGGTATAAAAAATGTATTGCAAAAAAACAAAAGACCTGGCCGGGGCCGATGGTCAGGGCTGCCCATAAAGACATGAGTGAAAAAACTTGAGGGAGATGACTTTTTACTTCAACCCCAAACATCAGAAAAATTTCATACCCCAAGAAGGTACCAGCTACCTAAATTCCCCCTTTCCAAACCAGGCAAAGATCTTTCCAAAATTAACGTTTCAGGATTTCCCCACAAAATACTTTTGACAAGGTGCTGAGAAGATTATTGCTGTTAAAGTACCATTTTTTTTTTTTAAAGGGGAAAACTCCTCCAAAAAATTTTGGGGGAATTACCGCCACTGAAAAAAACCTGGTCCAT